TTTATACTCGTTAAAGCAAACGATGCCAATTTCTGTCATTAATATCGCAGGTCTATAATTCTGCTGGAATTTAGATAAAATTTTTAAATTCTCCCTATGATCGTTTCAATTTAGCTTCTTGGACAACTTTTTAACAAGACGGACTTTTATATAAAACGTTTACATTCAGCCCAAAAAAAAAACGCATTTTGTGCAATATTTGTTCTTTCATCTGTCCTATTTTGGAGAAAACTCCTCATGCATAACTCTGATTCCTTGTCCGAATTGGCTTTACTTTAGGTCCTTTTTTGGTTTTATCAGTTCTTCAACGTTTGTTTAAGTTTTAGGAATTGACAGAATGCTGCGGGGTTTAACATGTTTGCGGGTTCGCCAACCCTCTCCTAACCTGGGACAGTGGTGTAGCAAAATAGTAGAATAAACTATAAAAATCAGTTGAATCGGGCTTAACTCATCAGATAGACACAAAGCACAAAAACAAATAACAAAAAATAATAGACACAAAGCACAGATCTGAGAGTCCACACAGTTACTGAAAGCTAGTCCAAAGCCAATAACAACATAAGAAAATCATGTTTCAACGAAGACTAAAATGTCAATCAGTACACCAACTTCAAAAAGATTTAGCGTAAAAACGTCATTAACAGTCAGAGAAAATCTACCTTACAGCCGATTTCAACGAGTGTGTAGCTAAAGGTAGAATCTTTGGTTAGTTATAAGCTCATTTACAAGCATGCATGTTGTAGGTGTGTTTGATTTGCCAAAATGACGAAAAGTTAACTGAAAGCTGAAATTCCTTAGTTTTTTCTTCTTCGTCAGACATTACAAATGATAATATATTTAACTTGTCTGTTGAATTTGTTACATCAAGTTAATAAAATTTAGAATATAGCAAAGTGCTCTCGACCAATGAAATTGTAGGATTTGATGTCTCTTAATTATGAAGAATGAATGTAAATCAGTTCTTAGTTAAGGGATAACCTTTTATTTAGGTCTATTTACAGTTCAAAACAAAGAGTTTCTATAAATGAGTTACAACTGCCCGGAAGCACATTTATCAGATTGAAAAGATTTATCACACAGTGATTGAAACTGACTAAGTTGAATTGTGAAACAAACAAAAAAAATCAAAATAAGTTGAAGTTTACTGGTGCAGTAAAATTTGTACCTTTAATGTTATTATGAAAATATTAATAACTTCAAATTACTAAAAAAATTAAATAATATCAAAGCAATGCAAAAAAAAAAAGAAAAAAAGTCTAAAACCAAAAATAACCTAAATCTTTAGCTTTCCAAACTCTGATTACTGGACCAGCGGTTGGGAAAAATAGTTATTTCCAATCTTCCAATAAAAAAAGACACAAAAAACCAGGAAATTAATTTAAGTTTTGATTATATTTAAAACTTTTAAAGACATTTTATTTAAACATTCCCCTGACTGAATGAAATAATATTTGATTTAAAAATCCGGACCAATATATTGGCTTTGAAATAAAAGTTAGTTGTATTAACTCAAATGTATTTATTGATTTAAACTGTAAATTAAAAAAAAGGATAATTCCTCACTAAAATATTACATGATTTACATTCATACTCACAATTAGGAAACATATACCATTCATACCTTTTCTTTGTACTGTTGTGTCACCTAATGTCTATAACGCATTTTTTTTTAATATTTCCCAAATTATAAGAAAGTCCTGACATCACTAATCCATAAATGAAAAAGGAAGTCATGCATCAATTATAAACATTCCACTGACAGTGAAACTAATTCTTGAATACAACCAATCAAGTCTTAGAGATTATTTGAGCCTTGAGCACTTTACAATATTCTAAGTTTGTAAGAGAATGATAATCCCTTACTTCATGACAAGTACTCGCTAACGCTCGTACTTAATCGTGAAGAAAGGGATTATGTATATGTAAGAGAATGATAATCCCTTTCTTCGTGAATAAGTACGAGCGTTAGCGAGTACTTATCATGAAGTAAGGGATTATCATTCTCTTACAAACTTAGAATATTGTAAAGTGCTCAAGGCTCAAATGATCTATTCAAGAATTAGTTTCATTGTCAGTGCAATGTTTATAATTGATGCATGACTTCCTTTTTCGGCATGTCATTTATGGATTAGTTTTAGTGATGTGAGGACTTTCTTATCATTTGGGAAATAATTTTTTTTTAAAATGCGTTATAGATATTAGGTGACACAACAGTAGAAAGAAAAGGTAGGAATTGTATGTTTCCTGATTGTGAGTATGAATGTAAATCATGTAATATTTTAGTAAGGAATTATCCTTTTTTTATTTACAGTTTATATCAATTAATACATTTGAGTTACAACTAAACTTTATTTCATAGCCAATAATTTGGTCCGGCTTTTTACATCAAATACTGTTTCATTATGTAAGGGAAATGTTCAAAAATAATGCCCTTAAAAGGTTTTAATATGTTCAAAATTAAATTCCTGGTTTTTTTTATCGGAATACATGTATTGGAAATAACTATTCTCCCCAACCGCTGATCAAGTAATCAAAGTTTTTGAGATTTTTGTTTGTTTCAAAATTCAACTTTTAGTCAGTGACAATCACTGTGTGATAAATCCTTTCAATCTGATAAATGTGCTTCGGGGCAGTTGTAACTCATTTATAGAAACTCTTTGTATTGAACTGTAAATAGACCCAAATAATAGGATAATCCCTTACTAAGAACATGATTTACATTCATTCTTCACAATTAAGAGGCATCCAATCCTACAATTTCATTGGTCGAGAGTACTTTGCTATATTCTAACATTCTCTTACATATACGTAGTTGGATATGATTGACAAGTGCTGACCGTATTCACTTTTACACATACACATATGTTTAAATACACCCGGACAGGTAAAAAAGATTGGAACGTGTCCAAAAGTACATATGACCTGATCATTCAATCTAGGTCAGATTAAAACTGAAGTAGAGACATATAAATTGTTCTTCATGGCTGCATCATTTATCTAAAACTAATAAGTAAGATAATGTTAACGGACCAAGTGGATGTTCATAAACTCTGCAATATTTTTAATTCCAGACTGCAGTTGTTTGCTGTTTTTTTTCCCGTTGCATTTTTAACTAAATAAAAGGTCCACAAATGCAACCGTGCATGATATTAAGTAGTGTGATATTTTTTTTCTTTTCTGTGCGAATATAGAAGATTTTAGTTCTAAAAACTATGCATATATATGAAGAAAAGACACCAAGACCATAACAATGTTTTTTGCGTGCACCTAAAGACACTAATTAACTAAACTTCCTATTCACGGCGTAAATATTTAAAAAAAAAAACGTTACTCCGCTTCTAATTTATTGTAATGAAAAGATTTTTTAATTCAATCAAAGACTAAGAAATGAAATTTTATTTTCAAAGTAGTCTAGGTAAACCTTTGTATGAAACATACATAAATTAAAATAATAAACAGGCCATTGATATAAATGTTTTCATTGGATGATAAAATGGTGCTTTGCTCCTCCCAATCTTAAGGTAATAATCTTTTTATGGTTGAGCTAGTGTAACAAAAAATTTGTTCCCGCTTGACATTTGTTCCGCCGGAACAAATTTCATAGGAAATATGTTCCACTGGAATTTATATCACAGAAAATATGTTCCAGCACTGTAAAATTTGTTCCGGAACTAATTTTTTTAACAAATGTGAAATAAGTTCCGGAACAAAAATCACAGCTCCATGAATTTTGTTCCAATATTAAAATTTAAAAAAAAGTGAAATAAGTTCCTGTGATATTAGTTTTAAACGAAGATATTTCATAGAAATCAATGAATAAGTTCTGCTCAAAGATATTTCACAGAAAATAAGTACCTTTGCAACATATTGCAAAGAGATAATTTTCTTGTTATACATGTACTTAAAAATTATAATGCAAGCTGGATGCTGTACTGTGCTTGCATGGGGTAAATTTGCAATTGAAGGCATGACTGTGACTGTAGGATGAAGATAAGAAATAAATGCGATGGTAATGTATCATAATTTGCATTTATGTTTTATGTGGTATTCCCCATCCCTGTTAATCTGTCATGGGTGTTCTAGTCGGCATACATGTACTTAGCTATGAGGTCGTGGCACAGTTTCAAAAGAGTGTGTCTTTTGATTCTTTATGTCTTTTAATATAATTTCAGTCACTTTGTCCTTTTCAAATTAGTACAAATTTTCATCTTTAACTATACTTTTTTTCTGAATGATTATTCTTATTCTACTCTTTTCTGGCTCATAAGTGTCATTTTGGTATTTTTTAATGAGTATGTTATTAAACATTTGCTTTACTTCACAGGATCCAAATTGGATGTTTACACTTTTTATTTATAATTACATTATCAATATAATACGTTTTTATACTGTACTTGAATGATAACTTTAAACTCACTGCTGACAAGTGCTCAGTATATAAGAAAACTTGTTTAACCAGTGGAACATATTTCACAGACAAGGAACTTATTTCACCATGCGAGGAACAAATCTCACAAACCCAGAACTTATTTCACCAGGTAAGGAACAAATCTCACAAACCCGGAACTTATTTCACTAGGTAAGGAACAAATTTCACAACCCAGAACTTATTTCACCAGGTAAATTAAGTGAGGAACTTATTTTATAGAAATGGAACAAGTTATATAGAAATTGTCTGTGAAAAAAGTTCTCCCAGAACATATTTTCTGTGAAATTAGTTCCACTGGAACTTTTTTCACAGGAACAAATTTTGGCTCACACTAGCAAGGAAGCTAACCAAAGATTCTACCTTTAGCTACACACTCGTTGGAATCAGCTGAAAATCTCAGTGAAAGCAAGCAAACAAACTGAGAGAAAGCACAAACAGAAGAAAAAAATCCCAATCGATGCTTTAACGAGTTTTCGTTTAAATCGAACATTTATTTTAAGTGAAGACATTTATTAAATGTATATGCGATACACAGGTAAATATATGTTGCTAAAAATAGACAAACATACTTTTAAAAATATAAAACATTACACAAGGTCTTGTAATAAATGGCATTATGGTTATATTGCAATAAAAAACGCTGATTCAAATTAAATAATAATAACTAATAATTATTTAGGATCTGAAGATTAGTAACACACAACATTTGAAATGACAGGTAAGATGGTCCATGTTGATGAAAAATCAAATTTATTGATACAGAGTTTATATTTTACTGTGTGCATTAACCTTTGTGAATCTCTTTGTAGATCTACCATGTCTACGATTTTTAAATAATCATGGAAGGGCCATACTTGGAACTGTACAACGATTACCATTACTTTTTTGGTTAGATACTCGACTAAGAATTTACGCTGCCAAAGAGATGGCAACAATAAAATTTTATGTTGGTATGTATAACTGTCAACTGTTTAAACAAATATTGTGTATGTAACCAAAATCCCTTTATTCTAATTAAACCGTTTTTGTGTGAATCATGATTTGGAAACCACTCATCTTTAGCTTGTTATCTCCACGCTAAGACTAAAATGCTTATTAAAGCAAGGAAATTTGCAGAATAAAAATAATAAGAATTGGTATGAACTCTCCAACAGAGACCAAATGACGTAGAAGTTTAAAACAACTACAAGTCATCGTACGGCCTTCAACAATGAGCAAAACCCATACCGCATAGTCGGCTATAAAAGGACCCGAAATACCAAATGTAAAACAATTCAAACGAGAAAACTATCGGCCTGATGTATATGTACAAAACAATGAACAAAAAACTAATATGATATACAGCAACAAAAGATAACACTGAATTACAGGCTCTTGACTTGGGACAGGCACATACAGAATGTGGCGGGGTTAAGCTAGTTTACTGGCGCCAAACCCTCCCTCTAACCTTGGACAGTGGTGTAACAGTACAACATAAGAACAAACTATAAAAATCAGTTTTAAAAAAGGTCTTAACTCATCAGATCGAAATAAACCAGAAAAACATCTAACAAAAAACACAGACCGGCCGACTAGCAAGGTATTGCTACACCCCACAACAAAGAAGACACTAAGTACAGATCTGAGAGTACTCGCAGTTACTGACAGCTAGTTCAAAGCCAATAAAAACTTATACAAAACCATGCATCTTAGAAGACTAATTTTTGTTACGGTTCGTCATAAGACATTGTGAAACGTGACAGTGACAGTGATTCTGCCTAGAGACAAATATGTGCACCTGGAAAAAGTTTTTGAGGCATAGGTGGACCTAGATATGTAAAAGTTATATGCATAATGTGTTTCGGAAAAGTTTCCATTACTTAGATATTTCATAAGGATGTCCATATTTTTATTACATGATAACAACCAGTTGGCGTTTTAAAGTAAAAAAAAAACATTAAAATATTTGATTTTTCTTCATTTTAGTTTTAAATAGTTGAAAAAACGTTGACATGTTGCACAACTTGACACATGACATTTGTTCAATAATTTTTTTTTCTCGCAAAATTCCATCAATATGTTTTTAACTTCTCAAAAGTAATTAATTTAAATTTCTGAGACATTGCAACTTGATGGCTTCAGCTGAAACAAAACTGGTTCATTTTGCACGAAGGCAATTTTAAAAACAGGATAACCCGAGAATATTATACATGTTGTAGTAACTGAAAGGCTGATTTTTTATTTGTTTAGTGTCAAGTCAAATATTCAAAATATAACAGCCTAGATTGAAGAAAAATACACAAAAATTTAACACATGCCCTCACTAAATTTAACATACATACAGTTTGATGCTAATTTTAAATAAATTGTATTTTTTTCAAAAGTATTCATATACCAAAAACTACACATAAGTATACTAATATATAATATGTGAAATTTCCCTTAAAAAATATTTTCTTGTATAAAAAATATTTCTGAAATATTTTAGTGTTTTATTTTCGTTGGTTTTTTTTTTTACCTCAGTATATCAAGCTAAAACCAAGAAGGCGGACGAAAAAAAACCCACAAATTAGGCCTAAATAGTTATTTTCTTATTTTAACCTATACGCTATTTCTTTTATTTGCAGAATTCGTACTTCTAACAATTTTGCTTACATTGGACAACAGATCATTAGGAAAAATATACAAGTTTTTTATGTGTTTCGTGTTCATGATAATGACGTGGCCGTTTTCCAAGTACAATATTTGGAATTTTTTAATCAGAACAGAAACCGGATATCGAACATCATTCACCATGCAGAAGAGAACGTTTCACATTCACTTGTATTACCATTTAGCAGTTTCGTTTTTAGTCATTGCAACCTTCTTAAAGGTTGTGAGTTTCGTGGTCAAATTGTACAGGTATTTTCCCAGTAGACTAGTGGTAATGGGTACCAGTTTAACAACAGTTCATGTCCTAGCGCGTGCGTTAACTGGTGTATGTTCTTCAGTGTTTCAGAATAATGTTTTAATAATTTTGTATCATCTTGCTTTAGTCTATTTGACGAATGACCTATTCCGCATAAAATTTGTTGTATATCTTTCCCTCGTTCAATTTTACTACACTTTATACTGGCACAGTATAACTTTTTATTTGTTCTTTATAATCATTGCTGTGTCTTACTACTTTGAAGAAGGCGACGAACTATATTCTGTTAAAAATGCCTTAAGTGGAATCAAACAAGTAAAGATGATAGGAATAGACTGTAACACTTTACTTCTGTATTCTATTTTATTGTGTATCTTTATTTCACTAGATTTACACAATGCAAGTGTTTTCCTAGCTGGAACTATTTTTCTGACCACCATTAATATAATATGTGCCACATTACTAGGTACGATTGCCTATGTATCTGGTATCTCTTACATTACCCTTCTTCTACCAACTGCAACGATGTGGTTTTTGCGTGGAAAAAATCATGCCAGAAACACTTCCGACCATTATACATGTAAATATACGTTTGCGTTTTTTATCTTAGAAGCTCAGTCGTATAATAGTGCAGGAACATATATATTGATATACTGTTCCCAGAATAGTGGTATTAAATTGCATGGTATCATTATGTGTTTTGGTATATTTATCTTAGCTGGTTCTGTTTTAGAAGATTTACACAAGATTGTAGACTCTTTCTTACTGGAAGTTGGAGCATCAGGGGCCGGATTTTTTAAAACCTGCAAAGCTGTTTCAGCTATTATCATTTTAATAATATTTCCTATTTTTATTGTTGTAAAACTTTATCAAATTAGACTTATTGATATAGGGATAGTATGGTTTATTGTGGTAACGTCTACATGGCTATCTGTAACTGTTGAAGCTATAGGATCTCTATCAGTATATCTCCTGTTGGTTTTTGACAGTTTAGAGCCTGATGCATGGATAAACTTGGATAAATCCATGTATTGCGTACGTGTTTTAATCGGAATAATTCACATATTTTTTGGAACATTACATATATGCTATCTGATTTGGAACATAACCACTATTCAATGGAGTTGGCTTGGTTGTATAATTTTAGTTGGATGTATTTACAATATTTTCGAAAGAATAACTAATGGATGGAAGGAAGTCCATAGACTATCATTTTTACCGAATGCAACACAAGAACAGCTACATGCATTAAACGATGTATGTGCAGTTTGTCTGCGCAATATGAAATCCGCAAAAGTAACTCCTTGTAATCACTATTTCCACGAATCATGTTTGACAAAGTGGTCTTACATTAGTAAAAATTTTCCACTTTGTAGTACAATGATTACAACTGATTGGGCTGACGAAGTTGACGAATTTGAAGACGAATAAAATCGATATTGGATAATATCAGGATTACAATAAAATACCAAAAAATTAATTAGTTATCGCTATTACACATTTCTTAATTATGGCTAAGCCTATACGAAAATCATTATTCAATGGGGGGAGATAACTTGTATTCGTGATTTTTTAAAATGTCTATACCATTTATGAATTTTACATAATGATACTATCTTTTTGCAAAACTTCTGATGTACTTTATACTGCTGGAGGAAGTTGACAAATAAAACAGAAGTTAAATAAAATTTAATTAATCTACAAAACTGGAAAGCGCTAGAATATATCAATATTGTAGGAACATGTTTTAAACTAATAAACTGGCAATCACTACAATAACCCTCCAGCAAATCATGTAGTTTAGTTTTGAACTATATCAACCTGGAGGGTCTTGTGCTCATTTTTCTAATAAAGATCTAAATCAAATGCTTAAGACAAAATTTTTAACAACTAAGTATTGTGAATGTAAAAAGGGTGTGCATCAAATCTGTTGTCAGTTGTGATAATTATAAAAAATACGAAGATGTGGTATGATTGCCAATGAAACAACTATCCACCAGAGACCAAATGACATAGAAGTTTATAACTATAGGTCACAGTACGGCCTTCAGCAATGAGCAAAACCCATACCGCCTGTCTGCTTTACAATATTATGCACATTTATAGCTTTTAAAATCAGTTCAATATCAACTTAAAGGCTGTGAGAAGAAGTAATAAAGTTATACTTTGTTGCCTTATTATACCCGCTGTATTTTTTAGAAACACTTTGTAAGTAGTGTCTGGAGGTGTCTGTCCATGTATCCGTCTTTTCGTCCCACTTTTCACTTTTCTTTTACTTCTAAATTGATAAACATGATTTGGTGAAACTATAACAACACCTTACACATGATGTACTTTTGGACCTTTACTTTCATTTTTTTATCCGAATAATTTTTTGGGTTCATTTTGCAAGACATAAACTTTGTCATATCTGCACCATGAGTGCACATGTATTGATGCTTCTCTTCCTAAGCCCCTAATCAGAATTTTATGATACTTTTTCAGAATCTTCAACCTTCAATGTCTTTGTTTACCTCCTATTGTCATTGCTTTATCTGGGGATATCCATGTTGTGTCTGCAACTCCTCCTAAATCCCTTATTCAATTTTTTTATCTTTCTAAAAATCTTTACCATATCATTCCATTGTGTACATCTTTTTTTGGTTTTCCTTGAAAATCATAGACTTTGCCATTGCTTCAAGTGGGATAGGGGGTATCATATTTATGAGCTTTGGTCGCAGGACCTCTAGTTTGTATAGATATGGAAAATCACAAAGATCATTTGGATATAACAAAAAGCATTTGGGAGTTGCACACTGCCATTAGATTACCGGGGGTATAAAGATTCTTTGAAGGTCTTATTGAAATCAAGCTAAGATTTAGTAAAAGCTAGAAAGTACAGACGAACAAATGAACAAATAGCAACCCCACACCATAACCTCTATATGCCCCTGCTTGAGCACAATATCCCCGATGATGACTGAATCTGCAATTTTCATGAAAAAGTATCTTTTAAGTAATAGTAAAATGCATCAAATCTAAAATGCAGGGAATAGATGTAGAGAATAACCAACAAAAAGGAAGGTAAAAAAGGGGCTCCCACGAGCCTGAATGGCTCACCTGGTTAAAATATTCCTTTTTGATATTTATTCCACTTTTATTGCAATCAGTTATGTTTGCTTATTTATAAATCTTATTAAGTGGCATTTATGTAGCTCTTGTATTGAACATTTTTACTGTTTCCAGTAATAAAGTTTTCAAAATAATTGGCAAAATGATAGAAATAAGTAAAATTTGTCATTTCAAGGAATATCTTTACTATTTAGCAAGTCTGTTTTCTTCCACCTCAATACCACTATTTATTTTGGTTAATTAGTTAAAAAATTAAATTTAGTTTATAGTAAGTTTATTTTTTAGAAACCAGGACGGGTTCAAACAGCATGACTTTATTAGATGACAATACAAATACTAAAAATCCAGGCTAAAAATAAGGCAACTGTACTTTAATTCATTCAATGACCCGCGATGTCGCAGGTGTGCTCTAGTATCTTATAAAGAGTATGATAATTTGGCCATGTTGTCTTACTTGAAGATCTTATTTTGCTGATCTGTTTTGCTTTTCAAAGTTTCCATCCATCTATTATAGTTTTTTTTCTTAAAAGAAAAAAATTGGTAAAATCATCACTAGGGTGAAATAACTCCTTCTTGCAACAGCAATTTTGGCCATGTCGACCACAAAAAAAACTCAATAATGTAAATTCAGAAATTATTGCAAATTTTTTATCAATGTGAATAATGCGACTGGATGTGTGTCCCAATAATTAGAACTCTTATTCTGAAATCTGATACATATATTTGCATGCAGATTTTCCTAAAATTGCAATAATTAATTTTGCATTTTTGTTCATTCTCCAAAAATAGCAAAAATAAGTGAAAGCTATAATTTCTGAATTTACAGTATACATATTTGAATCATTTTGAGGGCTTTATATGTAACTTATCTGAATTAATGAATGTAAAATTGTTAAATTGTTAATGGCAAGAAGACTCAAAATTTCAGATGGACGGAATGTATTTATCACATTTTCAGCATTTACAATAAATATAGATACAATTGTACACAAATTATTTTCCACGATATTTATATATAAACAAGTACCGGTACATAATGGTATCAAATGTAATTATCTCTTAAGAAATGTTCAAGAATTAAATTAGATTATACAGTACAAGTATTTTTAGTGCACAGAGTTAAGGTAAGACTTAACATAACAGAAATTCAACAAACAAGTTTTAAAAGACAAATTCAGAGCGTTATTATTTGTATACAACATAGATTTCATTCAAATATAAAGATCTATTGCATTGCACAAAATTCAAATCTGATGGTAAACGTCTGCTACTTTAAAATTATGAAACAGCTTACAGTTTAGGGCTATTCCATTAAAATGTATGTGGGAGGGTAGGAAGGGAAGTTTAATTATTGAATGTGGGTCATGGGTCTTTTTTCAGTATGCGTCTATTACCATTATGCAAAATTATCTAAAAAATGGTTCTTGGTTGTAGGGATATTTTGAAAGTCCCTTCCTACCCTCCCACATACATTTTAATGGAATAGCCCTTAAAGGACAAAGAATAATGCACAGTTAATTCTATAAACTCTATTCTGTATTTCTCTTCAAAAACTGATTTCTATGTTTTTTAAAAGCAAAAGCTAATTCATGAGATATGTATTGGGATTTTTTAATTTTGCTATGAATTTGATAATGCCAGAATGCCATAATAAATATTTCATAATATCTGTTTTCTTAAACATAAGTTCAATCTTAATTCTAGAAATAATTTACTTTTATTTTTGTTAAACAATAGCTTTTTTCTTAAATGTGCAGGTGTGTGATCAAGGCATCATATATTTTTAGAATAATTCCTTCATCAAAAAATATAGTGACTCAAAATATTTTGCATTTTTCTTTGTCATCAATGATATATTTCACTAAGATTTTCGATCACTCATTCATTCCTGGTTGAAGTTAAAATTAAATCTCTGGTTGTCCAGATTTCTGAACCACTTCATCAATAGTTTAAAGAGATAATGTCATATTGCAGTTCTTAAACACGTAGGCTAGCTCTAGATTTGTCCAAAATTTCTTTCCTGATCTTTGGGTAGTTAGGATGGCTACTTAGTACCTACAATAGAGAAAATAAGAAGAGTTTTAGTTTAAACATTAAGAAATTTCAACAATATGTTTTCATATCATGATATCCGATGTGAAATTTAACATTACCTGAGTCATAAAATACATGTTCAGAAAAGATCAAAATTTAAAGACTTATTTCCCTTTTTTTCTTTGTAATCATGGTAAAGTTGATTGTTTGTCTATTAGCATAAAATTTATTCAAATAAATGTGCAAGTCTTCCAAGGAACATGTGTTGCCTGCCATATCATAGTAATATAAACAGACATTGCTATGTCTATTGTGTTAGAATGGGATACCCATAAAATCGCTAAGATCAAAAATTAAAAAAGCAGGTGCACAACTTCCTGTCATGTAGAAAAATCTATGCCATCTTGGTTGAATTTTGTCAAGAAGCTTTAAAGAACGATGACAGCACAAGAGGTCTGCATTTATCATGTGTTGCAAAAGCTTTGCTGTTGGGCGACATAACTATTTCAGCAAATATAATATTCCAATTGTATAAAAGTACATGTATTGTAAATTCAGATATATGTGTTATAGAAACAAGTCTCTTTGATGACAATAGCAAGATACATAAATGCATATCAAGTGCTTGATAAGAGGGAAAAATAGACACACATTTTTTGTGTGTGTACTATTTATTTGCTTATTTTTCAATAATGTGTGGGTTACCAGTATTCATGACTTACATGATGACAAATATCTATCGCATCTACAAATCTTTTTGCCTTTAGGTAATTAAATCCCAATTTATAACCTGTAAAAAAAGAATATGTTATAAAATTTCTAGATGATGCATATGCGTAGTATTGTGCAAAATGTTTTTTTCTCAAATATCTAAATGGGATGTATGATCAAAACATATAAGTGCTTCCAAAGAAAATTTAAAAAATGCTCACGTTGTTGAATAAGCATAGTTCCACTTTACATAATTCATCAGAAGTATCAGAAAACAGGAAGTAGGTGTCTTGACAGATTTGAAAAGCACTCACATGTTACAATTCATCACTGTTGGGCTACTGACCATAAATGAAGTTATTCAGTTCAGTAGTATTGGAGAAATGAGTGATAATTTTTTTTAAGTTCATTCAAAATATTGAACAAGAATGTGTCCATAGTACACGGATGCCCCACTTGCACTATCATATTCTATGTTCAGTGGACCGATAAATTGGGGTCAAAACTCTAATTTGGCATTAAAATTAGAAAGATCATATCACAGGGAACATGTGTACTAAGTTTCAAGTTGATTGGACTTCAACTTAATCAAAAAACTACCGTGACCCAAAACTTTAACCTGAAGCGGGACAGACGGACAGACGAATGGACACACAAACCGAAAAACATAATGCCCCTCTACTATCGTAGGTGGGGCATAAAAATAAAAGTATTGGCAAACAGGTAGTGTGTATTTGACAGATTCATCACTGTCAAGCTGCTGACCAAAAATGAAGTTATTCTGTTCAGTAGTTTCTGAGAAAAATTAACAAAATTATTTGTTGGCCCGACAAATCAAGGGACGGATGAACAAGGTGATTACAATAAAGCCCCTACCTTTTAATCTGAAGGCACATTAAACAAATTAAATGTGTGGTAATTGCCTTCAGAATTCTAGGTAAGAAACATTCCAATGTTTTGCATGTATTTGATACAATATAATTTGGTATTGTTTACTTGTACCTAGAATTAAGCACATTTTCTCAACTGATTTTTATACGACCGCAAAAATTTTGTGGTCGTATATTGGTATCACGTCGTTGTCCGAAGACACATTGGTATCCGGACAATAACTTTTGTTTTAGTGTATGGATTTCTATGAAATTTTACCATAAGGTTTATGACCACAAAAGGAAGGTTGGGATTGATTTTGGGGGTTATGGTCCTAACAGTTCAGGAATTGGGGGCCAAAATGGAGGCCCAAATAAGCATTTTTCTAGTTTCCAGACAATAACTTGTGAAATGGTGTATGGATCTCTCTGAAATTATACCACAAGTTACCATATCACAAAGGGATAGTAAGAATTTGCTTTGGGGGGTTATGGCTCAAACTGTTTAGGAATTAGGGGGAAAAACAAGGGTTTCCAGGTTAATGGACAATAACTTAAGTACAAAACATAATTTTAAAGCAGTGTAAGGGAAGTATTTCAAACACATATTGTCAAATTACCTCCCTTACACTGCTTGTAAATTATTTATAAAGAAATGTACTGCTTTTAGGTGATTAGCTGTCAATTTATTTTTAAAAGTTACTATTTTAAAAATGTTTAATAAAGGTAATTCAATTATAGCCCTGATTAAGTATGTGAAGGAATTTTATTTTTAGATATTACTATTTAATGTTGCTGATGGAGGCTTCTTAATTTTAGGCATGATTATGATGTCATTTTCTATTTTTAAAATTATTTAATTTTAGCCATGATTATGTATGTGAAGGAATTTAATTTTAGATATTACTATTTAATGTTGCTGATGAAAGTGTTTTAATTTTAGGCATGTTTATGATATCATTTTCTACTTTAATACTTTTATGATGTATTTAAATGGGTTTTTATGGTTGCAAAGTCCTAGCTGTCAATTTATTTTTAGAAGTTACTTTTAAATGCTGATGAAGGA